GGGCGATAGTTAGCCAATGCATCTGGGTCCAGGGAAGGCTTCTTAAGAAGGGGCCTCACCACCGCCTCCTTCAGGGCTGCGGGGAAGACACCCTCCCGTAGAGAAGCGTTTATAATTCCCTGGAGCCAGGCTCGTGTACCCTCCCGGGCAGCCAGTACCAGCCAGGAGGACACGGATCCAGTAAACATGTGGTTGCATTCAGCCTCCCCAGGATCCTGTCCACGTCCTCGGGAGCCACAGAGTCAAACTCCTCCCATATAATAGTCTCAAGGCCTGCTCCTGTCTCCTCCCCCGGGGCCACCCAGTCAGAGTCCAAGCCTTCTCGGATCCGAGCGACTTTGTCATGCAGATATTGAGCAAAGTCCTCAGCCCTCCCCTCCAGGGGATCCTCCCCCCCTCAACTGAAGGAGAGAGCGGGTCACCCTGAAGAGGGTGGCTGGGCAATTATCAGATGACGCAATGAGGGTGGAGTAGTAATTAGACCTCGCCACCCTCATTGCCACTAGGTAGGATCTAACATGCATCCTTGCCTGTGCTCGGTCGGATTTGGTTCGGCTAGCCCTCCAACTGCTCTCTAGGCGTCTTTTCCGGCGCTTCATCTCTCTCAGCTCCTCGGTGAACCAGGGAGCCAATTGAGATCTGCGTCGGGTCAGAGGCCGCAAAGGCACGACTTGGTCCAGTGCTGCGGCAGCGGCCACATCCCAGGCCGCCGCCAGATTTTCAGCCGAGTCGTGAACTAGATCCTCCGAAAATGTATTCATTTCTTTAATATTTCTTAGCTCTGTATCAAGTGCTGTTATACTTATAGTTGTTCTACGGCTTCAAAAATATAACAGGAAAAATTCATTATAATTTTCTGCCAGCTAAATATTTATTCTATTGTGTACGTACTAGAACCATAGAAAGTGAAGATTTTTGTATGGTTTTCAATGTTAATAGTAGTTAAATCTGGTGGTCTGTGACTTGAAATACAGAAAGGTTTCCTGTAAGCTATCTAGCCTGGCAAAATGATGTCTGTGTGTTCCTTAGAGGATGATTTGAGCAAAATATCTGCTGGCTTTAAACATGTAAAAACGGTCCCAGGCTTCTAGAACTGAAAACAATATTTTTGACTTCCAGTGAGACCTACAGTCAACAAAAACATTGTAGCGGTATTGTTTGAAAGTAAAGCCTAATCCTATCCTGTTCTTTCTGTATCTTGACTATTACGATTCTTTCCTTGAATGGTAAACAGGAACACAAAGTACTGCTGACTGGGACGCCTCTGCAGAACTCAGTGGAGGAGCTCTTCAGCCTACTGAACTTCTTGGAACCACAGCAGTTCCCATCTGAGACAGCCTTTCTTGAGGAGTTTGGGGATCTCAAAACAGAGGAACAGGTAAACAAGAAAACATTTTAATAAATTCTCCACTGATATGATTTTTGTCAGGGGAAACTGGGGTTGGGTGGGGAGTTGACAGTTCCTTGCAGATGAACTTAAATTGTCTAAGGAATAAGCATTTGGCTACGGTGGCAAAAGGGTATAGAAATAAACAGTGCAAAAGAGTTGTCCAAACTATGGTGTGACCATACTTTTTTTTGACAAAATAGATCTCTGTTAGTGGTTGTTTCTGTATTCTGATGTGCACTTAAAAAAAGAGAGAGAGAACACAATGCAGCAAACTCAAACATTCATTATACACAAACATATCTTCAAGTTCTTCATATATAAATATTGTCTTTCCTGCCAAAATATTTCTGGTCTTGTACAACCATATTGAAAACCATTTCTAACTTACTTGCCAACAAACCTAATTCAACAAAATTTTCATTTTTCATATATCACCAAATATTTAGACATAT